TTCCCCAGACCTGAATCCAATTGAGCACATCTGGGACATCATGTCTCGTTCCATTCATCAATGCCAGGTTGCACCACAGACTGTCCAGGAGTTGGGGGATGCTTTAGTCCAGGTGTGGGAGGAGATCCCTCAGGAGACCATCCACCACCTCATCAGGAGCATGCCCAGGCGTTGTAGTGGAGGCCACACACATTACTGAGCCTGATTTCCATTGATAATTTTTGTGTGATTTTGTTGTCAGCACATTCAACTATGTAATGAACAAAATATTTAATGAGAATATTTCATTCATTCAAATCTAGGATGTCTTATTTTTGTGTTCCCTTTATTTTTTTGAGCAGTGTATTTGCGCATATGAAAACTAATTCATCTTTATACCTTGTTCCTCTAGTTTTTACATAGTTTAAGTTCACCCTTTTCATTCAATATTTCACCATATCTGTTTGTTCCTTTTCGTATATTATAGGATAAGAAAATGCTTCAACAGTCGATAGCCAAACTGGAATTTTCAAATAACATTGCCTTTTAGTCTTCTCCCAATTTAACCACAGAAACTCCCATATATAATGTCTTCTAAAATACCCCTGTGTTTTAGTTCCTTTGTACCATAAAAAAGCATGCCACCCCAACAACAGATCATGTCCTTCTAATGTCAACAATCTAGCATTTCTTAATGTTATCCATTCCTTAACCCACATGAAATTTGTAGCTTGGTAGTACAACTCACAATTAGGCAAATCAAATCCTCCTCTTATTCTAGCATCTTGCAAAAGTTTTAATTTTATTCTCGCTTTCTTATATATATTTCAACACAATTTTATTTAAATCTTCAAAATAATCTTTTCCAAGCCTAATTGGAATTGTTTGGAACAAATATAAAATTCTGGGTAATATATTCATCTTGATAGTTGATATTCTCCCTATTAATGACAGTTGTAAATTTTCCCATTTAGCCAAATCTAGTGCTATCTGCTCCTTAAGTTTAATATAGTTATTCTCTTTTAGTGTACTACATCTTGCTGTCAAATGTATCCCCAGGTACTTGATCTTCTTTGTGACATGGATTTTCAATACATCCGCCAGTTCTTCCTTTTCTCTTGATAACATATTCTTTGTCAAAATCTTTTTTTGTCTTTATTTATTTTCAAACCAGCCACCTTCTCATATACCTCTATCTTTTCTATAAATTTTAATACTATTTCTAGTGGGTCTTCTAAGATGAAAACCAGATCATCTGCAATTGTTTGCAATTTAAATTCTTCCTTTTTAATTTTCATCCCTTTTATGTCTTTTTCTTCTCTAATATTTCTGTTTAGCACTTCCAAGGTTAACACAAACAACAAAGGTGACAGTGGGCACCCTTCTCTTGTTCCTTTTCTTATATCAATGGAGTCCGTTAATTCTCCCTCTATCATTACCTTTGCTGTTTGCTTATGATATATAGCTTCTATTGCTTGGATGAATTTTTTACCAAAACCCATCTGTTCCAGCTGTAACAACATAAATTGCCAATTCACATTGTTAAATGCCTTCTGTGCATCTGAGAATATCAAAGCCATTTGTTTTTCAGGGTGTGCCTCGTAGTATTCCAAAGTGTCCAAGATTACTCTCACATTGTCTTTAATTTGTCTCTTTGGCAGAAATCCATTTTGATCAGGGTGAATAAAATTATTTAGGTATTTTTTAAGTCTTTCTGCCAATATTGAAGAAAAAATTTTATAATCTGCGTTTAGTAGGGAAATAGGTCTATAGTTTTTGATTTGTAATGGGTCGGCCTCCTCTTTTGGGACCAGTGTAATGTAAGCTTCTGACCATGATTTAGGTATCTTCTTCTTTAGCATAACTTCATTCATAACTTCTAGCAATGGAAGATTCAACGATTCTTGTAGTGTTTTGTAAAATTCCATCGGAAGTCCATCTGGGCCTGGTGACTTTCCATTGTTTTGCTTCTTAAGTGCTTCTGTTAGCTCCATCATCGTTATATTGCTTTTTAACATTATTTCAATCTCTTTAGGTATCTGGGGTAGGTTAGCATTCTGTAAGTACTGTTTAACTCTTTCATCATCAATATTTTCTTGTGTGTATAGTTTCCTGTAATAGTCTCGTATAATTTCCTTCTTCTCTTTACTTCCATAGCAAACTTGGCCTTGATCATCTATTAATTGAAATATTTTCCTTGATTCTTTCTCCTTTCTCAGTTTATATGCTAACCATCTGCCTGGTTTTCTGTGCTAATTCTTCTTTTTCCATTAATCCCATTTTATGTTTAATTATATCATTTTTTAACTTAATGTCCTTTTTCTGTGGCATTTTCTATAACTCTTTTTCAAGTTCTTTATACTCATCCTCTAATGTCTTAGAGGCTAGTCTTTTCATGGTATTTCTTTTCCTTGTATAGTCTATTATCAAGCCTCTAACATATGCCTTCATTGTATCCCATACATTCTGCGTTGATGTGTCTTCTTTTTTATTTTCTTTAAAGAAAAAAGCCAGTTCTTTTTTTAAACAGTGACCACAGTATGATTGACTTTTGTCTCAATTTACACCCTCACAAAGAAGATCATAATGATGGATCTCCAAAATACAATTTCAAAAAAGCCAACTCTGATCTCATAGATGCCGACCTATCATCTCTTGATTGGCACATTCTGTTCTCTAACTGTAATACTAGAAGACCATTATAATGCATTCTTACTTGAACTTGAAAGAGTCATTAAACTATATGTACTATTAGTAACCTCTAAAAACAAAAACAAAAAATTACCCATAACAAACTCCAATTAAAAAAAAAATCACTATGGCGTAAAAACAAAACTAGCTATGTAGCAAACTTTAAAAACCGATACAACACCATATATAAAGGCAGAATGCACAAATTATTATTGCAAACAGGAGGAAAACCTCCTATGTACAAAATCTACCCGCGCCTTCTACAATTTTGTAAACACCAAACTTAAATGCTCAAGAACCATCAAAGGGACCAAATGGAAAAGATTGCAGCGACAAAGCTGTCAAGGCATTCTTCAACACATTCTTCAGCTCAGTCTTTGTTAACAAGCAATGGCTCATGCCCCACATTTCCTAGTCATACCACAACTAACTGCAATGATCTACTACATATTGACTTTACAGAAGATAACGTAGAAAAGGCATTACATAATCTAAAACCACTCCTATCTATTGGCCCTGATGGATTATGTGCATACTTCTTAAAAAAGCTTTCCTCTGACATAGCAGAACCCCTAAGCATTATATATGATATATCATTCAGAACCAACTCCTTACCAAACCTATGGTCCTTAGCTACGGTCATTCCTATCTTCAAAAAAGGTGACTCCAGCCTGGTTGAAAACTACAGACCAATCTCACTGTGTTGTGTCACGTGCAAAGTCATGGAATCAATTATTAACCAATTCATCACCCGCTTAGAGTCAAACAACCTACTCTCCCAAAAACAATTTGGTTTCAGGAAAAAATTGCCCTGCAACCTACAACTCCTACACATATGGGCTACTCTACTTGACCAGGGAAAAGCAATACATACATAGACTTCTGCAAAGCCTTTGATTCAGTGGTACATGACAAACTACTGTTAAAACCAAACTCTTACAGCATTTCCAGATCCCTTCATAAGTGGATTACTGCATTCCTGTCAAACAGGAAACAAATAGTAAAAATAGAGAGTGCTATCTCAAACCCTGCTCCAGTTAACAGCAGTGTCCCCCAAGGCAGCATTCTAGGACCCACACTCTTATACTCTATATAAATGACCTTTGTGAACACCTTATAAGCAACTGCATCCTCTTCCACAGATGATGTAAAACTATTCAACACCACCGACAATGCTACTGCTCTTCAAAGTGACCTTGATTATGTGTCTGAATAGTCAAACAATTGGCAGCTCCAAATCTCGACCAACAAATGCTCTGTCCTACACATTGATAAAAAAAATCAGTACACCAAATACAAACTAGGCGGATATGACCTCGTTGATGACCCTCACTCTGTGAAGGACCTAGGAGTACTCACTCATGACCTAAGCGCCAGAGCTCACTGTAACAGCATTGCCAAAAAGGCATTAATTCTTACGAAGCTTCTCCTCTGGAAATATTGAATTGCTAACTAGGGCATACAAAATCTTTGCTAGACCAATACTCGAATACAGCTCATCTGTCTGGAATCGCACTGTATATTGGACATTAATACAATTGAGTGAGTCCAGAAGTATTTCACGAGAAGAGTACTACATTCTTCTGCTCACAACAGAATACCCTATATCACCAGGCTTGAAATTTTGGGCTTGGACAATCTTGAACTACGCCACCTATGGTTGGACTTAAGCGTAGTACACAAAATTATCTGCTACAATGTCCTACCAGTCAATGACTACTTCAGCCTCAACCGCAACAATACAAGAATGCACAACAGATACAAACTCAATGTTAACCACTCCAAACTTGATTGCAGAAAGTACGACTTCAGCAACAGAGTGGTCAATGCCTGGAATGCACTCCCTGACTCTGTTGTTACATCCTCTAACCCCCACTCCTTTAACCTCAAACTATCCACTATTGACCTCACCCCATTCCTAAGAGGTCTGTAAGGGGCGTGCATAAGTGCACCATCATGCCTCCCGTCCCTGTCCTATTGTCCCATTTAATTGTATCTATTTTCTGTATTATTACTCATGTTTATACTTATACCTATTATTTTGTAAGCGATTGACAAATCAAATAAATAAATAAATAAATAAATAAAATAAATTGGGGTGATTCAGAATGGAATTTTCTTGTTCTGCCCACTATTTTGTACATGGCAGCATTTGTTGAATGACTAACAGCTTGCTAGTGATTTGAATCTGAATATTCTAAGGTAAATTCATGTATTCCTGTATGTGTGTGTGTGTATATATGTGTGTATATATCTCCTTTTGCACAATAAAATGGAAATTTGGTGGGAAAATGGAATATCACATTGCCCTCTTAAATTTTGTTTTGCAGGGTCATAGTTGGACTGTTGGATAGAAAAGAAGAAAAAACAAAAGACAAACCAGCATGTGAATTCAGCCTTCTCTCTCCAGGCAACAGTGATAGGCATGTAGGTCTGATCCAGGTGAGAAAAACCTTCTTGCTCAGGCAATTATTAGGGTTGATTTTGGGGTCTTCAAAGATTGTTTCTTTTTTATTAGTATAATAGAATACATGCCCAGGCCTGAATTTGAAGAAACCTGCAAAATATTGCCAGCTGCCAATTGGAGCTGTGCTTTTAAAAACCCAGTTCTTATTCTTATGTTGGAGAGCAATCATACTTCTGCTTCAGGGATCACAAAATGATGGGTAACAATTTCCTTCTCTGCCATGTTATTTGTTGTTGTTTGTTGTGAAGGTATGTCCAACCCATTGTGACCCTATGGACAACTTTCCTCCAGGCCTTCCTCTCCTCTACCATCCTCCAGAGTCCATTTAAGCTCACACCGACTGTTTCAGTGACTCCATCCAGCCATCTCATTCTCTGCCGTCCCCTTCTTCTTTTGCCCTTAATCGTTCCCAGCATTAGGCTCTTCTCCAGTGAGTCCTTCCTTCTCATTAGATGGCCAAAGTATTTGAGTTTCATCTTCAGGATCTGGCCTTCTCAAGAGCAGTCAGGGTTGATCTCCTTTAGGACTGACCAGTTTGATCACCTTGCAGTCCAAGGGACTCCCAGGAGTCTTCTCCAGCACCATAGTTCAAAGGCCTCAATTCTTTGACGCTCAGACTTCCTTATGGTCCAACTTTCACAGCCATACCTTGCAACTGGGAAAACCATACACACTTTTGTTGGCAGGGTGATGTCTTTGCTTTTTAGTATGCTGTCTAGATTTGATATAGCTTTCCTCCCCAGGAGCAAGCATCTTTTAATTTCTTGGCTGCAGTCCCCAACCTTTGCACTCTTCTTCTTCACCTGCATCAAGAGCTCCTCTTCACTTTCTGCCATTAGAGTAGTATCATCTGCATATCTGAGGTTGTTGATATTTCTCCCGACAATCTTATTCCAACTTTTGATTCATCTACCCCTACCTTTCTCATGATGTGCCCTGCATACAAGTTAAAAAGACAGGGCAACAGTATACAGTCTTGCCAGACTCCTTTCCCAATTTTAAACCAATCAGTGGTTCCATGTCCAGTTCTCACTATTGCTTCTTGACCATCATATAGGTTTCTCAAGAGACAAATAAGATGCTCTGATACTCCCATCTCTTTAAGAACTTGCCACAATTTGTTGTGATCCACACAATCAAAGGCTTTAGTATAGTCAAGAAGTAGATGTTTTTCTGGAATTCCAGCTTTCTCTGTGATCTACTGTATGTTGGCAATTTGATCTCTAGTTCCTCTGCCTCTTCAAAATCCTACCTGTACTTCTGTAAGTTCTCAGTCCACATACTGCTGGAGCCTAGCTTGTAGGATCTTGAGCATAACTTTGCTAGCATGTGAAATGAGTGCAATGGTGCGGTATGGTATATTCTTTGTCATTGCCCTTCTTTGGAATTGGAATGTAAACTGACCTTTTCTACTCCTGTGGCCACTGTTGAGTTTCCAAATTTGCTGGCATATTGAGTGTAGCACTTTTACTGCATTGTCTTTTAAGATTTTGAATAGCTCAGCTGGAATACTGTCACCTCCACTAGCTTTGTTGTTGCTCAGTTTTCCTAAAGCCCATTTCACTTCACATTCTAGGATGTCTGGCTCAGGGTCAATGACCCACCCCATCATGATTATCAGGGACATTAAGCTCGTTCTTCTATGTAATTTTGCCACCACTTCTTAATCTCTTCTGCCTGTTAGGTCCCTGCCATTTGGTCCTTTATCATACCCATCTTTGCATGAAACCTTCACTTCATATCTCCAATTTTCTTGAAGAGATCTCTGGTCCTCCCTATTATTTTCTTCTATTTCTTTGCACTGTTCATTTAAGAAGGCATTCTTATCTTTTCTAGTTATTCTCTGGAATTCTGCATTCAGTTGGGTGTATCTTTCTCTTTTTTCCCTTGCCTTTCGCTTTCCTTCTTTCCTCAGCTATATGTAAAGCTTCCTCAGACAGCCATTTTGCTTTCTTGCATTTCTTTTTCTTTGGGATGGTTTTAGTTGCTACCTCTTATGCAATGTTGCGAACCTCCATCCATAGTTCTTCAGGCACTCTATCAGATCTGTATATTCATCAGGAATATGATTAATTCGTACCTGAGTGGCCTAGTGCTTTTCTCTACTTTCTTCAATTTAAGCCTAAATTTTGCAATGAGAAGCTCATGATCTGAGCCCCAGTCAGCTCCTGGTCTTGTTTTTATTGACTGTACTGACTTTCTCCATCTTTGGCTGAAGAGCACATAGTCAATCTGATTTCTGTGTTGACCATCTGGTGATGTCCATGTGTAGAGCCACCTCTTGGGTTGTTGGAAAAGAGTGTTTGCTATGACCATCATATTCTCTTGAAAAAATTCTATCAGCCTGTGCCCTGTTTCATTTTGTACTCCAAGGTCAAATTTGCCTGTTATTCCAGTTATCTTTTGGCTTCCTACTTTAGCATTCCAATCCCCCATGATGATAAAGACATCATTTTTGGTAGAAGATATTGTAGGGCTTCATAGAACTGGTCAACTTCTTCATCTTCAGCACCAGTGGTTGGGGCATAGACTTGGACTATTGTGGTGTTGAATGGTTTGCCTTGGATTTGAACTGAGATCTTCTGTCATTTTCGGAATTTTATCCCAGTACTGCTTTTCCTACTCTTTTATTGACTATGAAGGCTACTCCTTCAGAGGGATTCTTGCCCGTAGTAGTATACCTGATGGTCATCTGAATTAAACTCACCCATTCCTAACCATTTTAGTTTGCTGATTCCTAAGATGTCAATGTTCACTCTTGTCATCTCTTGTTTGACCACATCCAACTTCCCTTGATTCATGGATCTTACATTCCAGGTTCCTATGGAGTATAGTTCTTTACAGCATTGGACTTTCCTTTCACCACCAGATACATCCACAGCTGAGCATCCTTTTGGCTTTGACCTGGTCGCTTCATTCTTTCTGACACTACTAGTACTAGCCCTCTGCTCTTCCCCAGTAGCATATTGGACATCTTCCATCCTGAGGAGCTCATCTTCCAGTGTCATATCTTTTTGCCTTTTGGTACTGTCCATGGGGTTTTCATGGCTAAGATACTGGAGTAGGTTGCCATTTCTTTCTCCAGTGGATCAAATTTTGTCAGAGCTCTCTGCTATGACATGTTGGGTGGCCCTGCATGGCATAGCTCATAGCTTCATTGCGCTACACAAGACCCTTCGCCATGGCAAGGCAGGATCCATGAAGGAGCTGTAATGTTATAGTAATACTCTAAGAGAGTTATTCAGAGATGGCTAGCTCAGGGAATACGACCTGGCTTATTAAATCTCATTTCATTGTGACAGGTTTAGGACTGTTGCACAACACAAGATTTGGCCATTCAGTGATGGAGCTGGAACACAGTGTGATTCAACATCTGAAGTTCAGAACATGGTCTCTTTAAATTGATAAAAGGGGGGCTTTAAGGCAAAGACTGACTTCTTCCAAGGGCAGTTTCTGAGGGAATGCAGAATTATATCATGCTCTGGTTGGAGTATCAGGCAACTGTGTCATAGCTTCTCAATAATCATTTACTGAGAATGAATTAATATTCATTGCTCTCTAATCAGACAAATGAAAGCAGAAACAAACATTTGAAAACAGCCTCAGAACAGGAAGAGAGAAGCACTGGGGAATTAATGGCTTCAAAATCAAGAATTCATGGCCATGATTATCCAAGAATCCAATCTAAAAGGGACTAGATGAAATTGCAGACAGAACAAGGGCTAACTGTAAGGAAAGCTGGGAAAGATAATTTCCTGCAAGCCAGTGGGAAGATGCTTTTCTTTTTTTGAAAACAGTTTTATTGGTTTTTTTAACAAACAGACAAAAACAAACAAAACATAAAAGCATCAGCTCTCTTCCATACTTATATACAAACAGTGTGTCGGTTGGTTCATCAGTTTTGTGCATCCATTTCGTAGTCTCAATTACGGTTATGTTACATAATAACTCTTATTATCAATCCTCACTTATATATCCTCATATCATTGTTAAAAAAATCGTTTGACTATACTTTTATTCATTCATACTTTATGAGATAACTATAATTTAAGTAATTTATTCTATAACAAATCATATAATCATGCCAATTCTATCCTAAAAAAAAACACTTTATAAATATAGTAATAGCAAAAGAAAAAGAAAAAACAAGGATATTCCTTATTATCTAAAATTCTAGGTATTCTATTGTCGTATTTCATCATCTAACCATTGATAGAAAAGGTCCCAAATTTTATAAAATTGTTTATCTTCTTGCTCTCTAATTTCAAATGTCAATCTACTCATCTCAGCACATTCCAATATTTTCTTAATAATTTCTTCCTGCAATGGAATTTTCTCATTTTTCCAATTTTTAACAAATACAATTCTAGCCGCAGTTAATACATTTACAATCAGATATTTCAAATCTTTACTGTATACATCTGGTAGGATTCCCAATAAAAAAAGCTCTGGTTTCAAATCTATGTGTTTCTTTGTCATTTTTTCCAACCACATGCGGATTTTAGTCCAGTATTTTCTAGCATCCTCACAAGTCCATCACATATGGTAATATGAGCCAGGTATCTGATGACATTTCCAACATTTTTCAGATTTATTCTTAAACATTCTTGCTATCCTTGTTGAGGGAAAATGCCACCTGTAAAACATCTTATACAAGTTTTCTTTATAAGCTGTAGACATTGTCATTTTATAATTTTGCGACCATAATTTCTGCCATTTCTCTAGATCAATCCCATATCCAAAATTCCTCCCCCAAGCAATCATAGTTTCTTTAACTTGCTCTTCCTCTAGCTTAATTTCCAATAAATAAGCATATAATTTTTTAATCACCTTTTCATCAGTACCCATCAAGATCTTATCTAAATCAGTCTGTTTATCATAAAATCCCTCTGTTTTGGAATCCTCATCATACCTTGAGTGTATTTGCACATATGAAAACCAATTCATCTTTATACCTTGTTCCTCTAGATTTTGT